AAAAAGAGGAGCCCTTCCTCCATCTGCTTTGCACCAGTTAAAAACAGGGATCTCTCTACCATCACYGCGAAGGGTGAAATGGGGTTAAAAACCTGCCTTGTTCAAATATGCCATTCCCAGCACAGCCAGGACTCCTAATGCCTTAATCGGTGTCACTCTCTATATCTCCAGCACCATGAGGTCACCCAAGTGCTTGTCACTCACGATCTATTTGACTGAAGGATAAATGTGCATATTCAAATCACCTTCTGTGGCTTATTCTCCTGGCTCCGTCCCTGCTCCCGCTCRCCTGCATCCGTGCGACGTGCGGTCCCGGGCTCCGTGGCAGGAATACCGGAGTGCCAGTGAGCACTGGCCCTCTCTGCCCGCCAAGAGCCCACGTCACGAGGCAGATATTTAGGCACCGCTGAGTTTTGATGCCTCTCGGCTCCACAAGCTCTCTGCAGCTGACTGCTCTAAGCAGGGTTTAAGAGCAATGCTCTAATGCAAAGGTGGTTGTGTGGGATATGAAAGCGTTATATTAACAAATGGTAGATGAATTGCCCTCATTTGCTTAAAAAAAAAAAAAAAAAAGAATCGCCCTCCACCCTGCAAAAGACATATTTAAAGTTTAGCTGAGAGTTTCAGCTGTTTCCTTAGACAAAAGCAAGGAAACTAGGTACCGAAAACAAAAGAAAAATGAGCCCCGGTGTCTTGATCCTTGCCTGCAGAGCCCATGCAGTGGAGCATAATAAGTGCTACCGACCGGTGGTTGCAGGAGGTCGCAGCGAAGCAAAGAGCAGAAAAATGCCTGAAGTGGTAAGTGCAGGGGCTTGGCACGAGCGCTTGGCTCCGCAGTTCTGCGTGGGGAAGCTCCCTTGGGGCGGCTCGCGCCCGGCCGCTTCGCCGTTGCTCCTCGGTGCCTCCCTCGAATCCCCCCAAGGCAACGCACCCGTGAGGAGCAGCATTTTCCAGGCAGGAGCATGCGGCGCCCGCCTGCGGGTGGGTGGGGTGCAGGGGACTATGAAAATTTCGAGAGGTGGCACGACATCCTGGCCGCCTAAATATAGCGGCCGCCAACCACGGCTGCTTGCGCATGCGACTGGTGYGCCTGCAGAGGTCCCAAAGAAAATAGGGCCCTGTTTGGTAGTGAAAAGTGAAAAAAAAATAAAAGGAAAAAAGAGAAAAAAAACCCCACCCTCAAGGCCCAGCAGGCTGACTGCAGCTTGCAGCGCTTGTGCAGCTCTGTTTTCCAGGCAAGGCTCCAAGCGGAGCCCACGCGGGGCCGGCGCGGCACAGATGCCGATCACGTGAAGGCAGGGCCGGAGCGCGCGGGCGGCCGCCTGCTCCCGCCCTGCGGCGCCCGGCGCCCTCTCGTCCTCCCTGCGGAGCCCGGTTTCACCAAGGGGCCAGCGGGGAGGGAAAGGCCCTGACTGCAGCACTCACTGCTCAGGGAGCAGTGGCCACCTTGGTCRGCTCTAGGAGGTGACATTTGGGTGCTGTGTGATGCCGGGGAACCGAGGGTGTCGGTTCCCTTTTCGTCTCCGTTATTTGTAACTCCCCTATTTGCATAGCACAACATCGAGGCGCCTCAGGGGCAGAGGAAAGGGGTAGTTGCTGCTGCTTCTGCTTTTGAGAAAAGTAAAGCAAGAACAGGTTTCTCCGTGCAACAGCATCGCTGTTCACACCACATCAGCAGGGGCCGAGTGAGCGACCAGGGGGGCTACAGCTCTGGACGCAGGAAAGTTTTACAGAATTGAGCTTAACTGAGTCTGATAGTTTTAAGCCACGCTGTAAAATCCAGCGGAGAGCTGTATGGCAGCATTAGAGCCCTTTGGAGGGTCTGTAGGAAGGATCCTCACTGTTCAATTCTTCAGTCCTCATTTCCACAAAGGGTCCTTTTAGCTGTGTAAAATGGCCATAAAGTAGGTGTAAAAATGATTGATGCCCCTTTGCACTGTGAAAACAGTGTAGAGTGGCCAGGGTGCTAATGAGCATCACACCTAGGCTTTGAGGGTAAATTACACAGGGGCCTTCATAACTCCTATATGCCCGGAGTGGTTTAATCCTACCCAATCTATCCAGAGAATGAATTTCCAGGGTTAAATGTATACACATATACATATATATATATAATATATATATATGTTGTTTCCTTGGACATCTTCTTACTTTCTAGACTTTAAGTCCCAGCCTTTCTTGAAGAGCAGTCCTCATAACTTGTGCCCCAGAGAAAGATTGGTGCTATCTGAACATGCTGTGGTGGATGGAACTTCTTCAATTAGAGCTTTCCAAAATGCTCGATCCAAGCAAAACACATGGTAAGACAATACCCAGGAGAAAAACAGTTCCAAAAGCTACCATATCAGTTTCCTGTTTCCCCCCGTTTTGATTTTGACACTCTGGAGATACGCAGAGAGAAAACAGAGAAGTTATTCTTTGTTGGATCAAAATGACCCATATTTGCTCRTAAGACATTAAAACGTCAGTACAATATATGGCAACAATTGCTTTCTTCCAGAGCAGAGGGTCAAGCTGCAAGGCGCTGATTAGGGACCAAACTTGGTGGTGGTGTTTAAAGCAGAGGGCGTGCTATTACTAAAACACAACCTTTTCTAAGCRGAGCGGGGTGTTGTATTAGTGTCTTCCTCCTGTTGCCTGAAATCATTGGCAGCAGTTCCATGATCACCCTCCTGGTGTCTGCYGGGCACCAGAGAGATATCCCTTTTAATAGGCATGAGCCTAGGGAATCCCAGGGCCTGAGTAAGAGTGGGAGACTGGGAATGAAAACACATTGGTGAGACGGAGGTCAGAGGATTAAGGAGACAAAAGCCRGGCCCTGGCGGAAATGCAGCTGGGCAGACCAGTGTCACCCGCCGTCCGCAGCCAGCGCRGGACCTGCTGGCAAAGGGCACCAACAGCGGCTGGTTTTGTGCTGGTCRAGCCTCAGTATTTAAAACTTGCCCTCTCAAAGTGCCCTCTTTGCTGGGAGGAGAGCCTGCATTTTTGGCCGCGCGGAGCAGGTGCCAGAGTGGGGATGTAATTCGCCGAGGAAGGCATGAACGTGTTGAGTACCCATCGGAGGAACATGTATCACTTGCACACTGAAGGTCTTGCCCTRCACTTCAGCAGCTTCCTGGTGAGCACAGTGGACTCCTCTGAGCTTGTATCTGTGCATCCGTCATGTTGGAGGTACTCCTATGCTTTTGCCTCACATGGGAAGGGAGGCTGTCCACAGATCCATAAGCAGCACTTGCAGCAAGCTCCTCCAGTGTCAGGAGGTGGATGGGCTTCCAGGATCATGCTGATAGCCAGAGTCCTCACCAAAGCCAACAGCCAAATCCCACCATGCTCAGCCTCCTGTACAGCTCTCAGCTTGATCTGAGGATGGCTGTGGGTCAGGTCGAGGCCTTTGTATGGGTAGCTTGACGTGGACAAGAAAATGGCTATACTTGCAGATGTGGCTCCTGCAGCCACAGCTACTGGAGCCTGTTATTTGGAATTACAATGTGGAAGCTGTCTCAGAAATATGTATTTTCAATAGGTCCTTGCTTGGTAGACAGAGAGTACCTTGGTAACTGAAGTTACATCTACTCTACAAGCCCTTTCAGTAACAAAAAACATAAGCAAACAGACCTAGCCGTGCTCGAGGTGGACCACAAGAGGTTTAGCTGTGGTGTGGTCTTCTAGCCCTGGGAGGATGCTGGCCAGCAGTGGGAGGACACGTGAACCAAGGATGGAAGATACTTCTCACTTAGGATGAGAGCTATTTACACAAGTAGCTTTCTACTGGAGTAGCTTTTTGACTCAGTGGTGGCTATTTTTTGCTACAGAAACAGAAAGTCTGTTTGTTTGTCTGAAGAGAGATTTTATAGGGGTTTTATTCTCTTCCCCCTTGCTGATGCGCGACCTTTCTCGTGTCTCTGCCGTCCGGCTCCACCTTGGGGACACCCTGGCCCTGGTGGAAGTCAGCAGCCCTTGGCCAGGCCAGCACTGGGAGGCAGCGCAAGGGGCGGCTGGTCCGGGATGGCTCTTGCATCTTAGGCAGCCTGTGCTGTGCARGTGGGGCTGGCTGCCCAAGGGACAGGCCAACCCAATTGTCCCAGTATAAGGCTAATGACTCGCACAGCACTTCTAGAGCAATACTTTTGGAGTGGGAAAAGAAAAAAAAAAAAACACTGTTTGGATGCAGTTTGTTATTCTGTGCTGCTTATTAAAATATCGTTATTCTCTTGCTCTCRTTATTATAAATGATGTCTTTGGGAGACGGGCAGTCTCTTCTCGCTTCCCTCCCTCCAGCCTATTTTAGAAGCCACTCATTGTTGCAGGGGTATATCTTTCAGGGCTGCTGGCCCCCATCCACTGCTGGTGTGTGAGGCTGATTGTCTTCAGTGGAGTTACACCAAAAACTGCATTTGGCCTTTTGTGCTTTGAGCATAATTGGTGGAACTGGCTAGACGCTGGGCTTGGGAGCCTGCAATTCTAACAGTGTCAACACTGTTTTCAACGTGACTAGTGATTTAGGGGCCTCCGTTTTCGGAGCTCAGCTTGAGGTTTCTTGCATTGATCCTTTCTCACGAAGTGCTGAGCACTCCCTCTTCAGAAATCAGGCGCTTGTAGGGGGTCTTAAGCGGGGGCCAACAAATGACTGTTAGTCAACCTAGTAATTGGTTGTTAATTAGTACCTCCTACATCATTAGTCATGGTCAGAAATCTTATCTATATACCACRTATTTTATACTGCAGTCATCGGTTCACTTTTGCTGCTGGTCTGCATTTGAAGAGGTCTTGACCTCCCTTGGTACATATCTGTATGGTAAATCCCCATCAAGGTAGTGTGGATTATACCCAGAGAACCCAATCCAATGTACCCAATTGCACCCAATCCAATGTACCCAAATGTATCCAATCCAATATACTCCCCAAACATGACTGGCATAATTATAATCAAACAGTTTGGACCCAGATCCTCCTCTGGTAGGAATGAGTAGAGCTTCTCTGAAGGCAAGGTACAGATTCCCACCAGTGAAGGAAGTAGTCCCTATATTTTAATGGCTAGGCCTTGCAGATGAATTTGCAACGAGTTTTAAGCTCTCAGTTTGTTTATGGCTATTAAAGGAGCTCTTTGGTGAATATTTGTGCAGCTGCACAGGTCGTCTCACAAGAGGACTTGCGTGATCCCAGCCACATGCATTGCTCTTAAAAATGACCGAAGAAAATATATTCATTAAAAACGTGTGAATGCTTTTCCTTATCAGAAATCTTATAAACGCTCATCCATTGCGGGTGTCCGTGGTGGCAGCACCCTGACACCCTTCATCTCCCCAGCCCCAACCCTACACCTTCTGCTGCTGCCCTTGGGTGGCCGCTAAGGGGTAGAAGCGAACGCCCACATAGAAAACCTGGTAGCGGTGCTTCCACATGACGAAGCACGCCGCGAGGCACACGAGCGCTGCCGCCGTGTTGAGGACCATCTGCAGGAGCAAGTAGAGGTGGAGCGTGCTGGTGACGCCGCTGCAGTCTGCCGCGTCCTGGTAAACGAAGGTCCTGCCCAGGGGGTCCTCGGCGTCCACTTTGCAGTGGCAGGACTCGCGGACGGTGTCGCAGGTGAAGCGCGTCAGCTGCAAGTACCCGTGCGCAGCGAACGCCACCGCCACAACGCTCACCACCAGCCCCAGGGCGCTCAGCAGGAAATACATGAGCTGGGAGAAAGCGAAAAAGCAAAAAGGGAAAAAGAAACAGTCTTTCCAGCTGCACAGAGAAGGAGGAACACACATAGTTTACAGGGAGTGCAGGTACTATCTGCTCTGAAATGGCAAGCTGGCTCTAAGTCCCCAGTGAGGCCAAGTTCAGCAGGTTGCAGGCATCCCGTGGACCGGCCTGTCTGCCTTGCATGGTTGATAGGAGTGCAGCCTTGCAATYTGAAGGTCCCGTATGAACGCCGGGAAATCTCTGCCTGTGCAGCACAGAGCAGGTKCCTCCAGCTGGTGCTGCAATCATCCGCTGCCGTAAACCCGTGTGCTTGCAAACCAGGCAGGCTGGGGGAGGCTAATCCRCAGCCCGCGGCTGGCCAGCGCGCTCCCCACGTGCTCCCACAAAACAGGAACACAAGGCAGCTTGGGGATGGCTGGATGTCCTCCCCAAACCTAGTCCCTAGACCTCTCCCTCTGGAGACCTCGGGATGCCAGAGCATCCGCACGTGCCTCGTCTCTGGTAGCCGGAGCCGGCAGCTGCTGCGCTGCATGCAGGTAGGTGTGAGTGCATATAGAAGGCAAACTCTGTGTTTAGCTAAAAGAGCATTTTTGGTTCTGTTCAGCATGGAAGAAATATTTATTTTGCTTGATGTCTTAGCTGCTAGACACGCGGCGTGGCTGGTAATGAATTACTTTAAACAGCATCTTTTATTCCCTCTCTCTTTCTCCTATTAACCTCGATACCACAAGTGAACTATCAATCTGAAAGCTTCTTTATAACCTTCAGATGCCAGGTTTGTATGTCTTGATAAAATTCACAGTCTTGGTGTATTTGTCCACTATCTGGTGGTGTGAATTGAGATTCCCATTTCAGTTGCCAGTTTGGGAAAAAAAAAACCGTAGGTGGCCTTGAAGCCATATATACATTTTTTCCCCAAGTAAGTGAATCCTTACAGCAAGATCTTCATTTTCAAGTCTTGGCTACTGTCRAATTTAATGACTTCCCCTGCAGTCTTAAGCCAAGGGGAGCTTCAAAATGAGGGTGACTTTTATTAAATGCCTTCACCCCTGCAGCTTTCTTGGTAAAGGTCCTTGGCAAAGGTGGAATTAGAAAAAGAGGACACCTACTAGTATGAAGCGCACAGAAAATGGAGGGCTGTTGATTAATAGAAAACGCTTATTAAAGATGTGGCAATTCATAGCAAATTAAAATACTTTTTTTTATAGGGAAGATCGACAAACATGGGTGAATGTTTCCCTTCTCTGAGAACCAAATGTGGTGTCGACACAGCCAGGCTCTGGGTGTCCCCAGCAGAGCACGTGGGATTCAGACCGGTCCCAGAGAYGACAAGTGGAGACTCCACCATGCATCTGATTCTCCCTCAGCAGGTCTTGCATTTAGCTGCCAACCTGTAGCCAAAGCATGGAAGGAACAGCCTAAGCTCTTGAAACCCTTGCAGCCCCTGCAGCTCTTGCAGTGTTTGCGGGGGCAAAGAGGCACCTGGGAGCACAGGACAGTTCCCCAGCAGCTTATGACCCTCCCCAGATGTTTGCAGAGGACTTCCTTGGCGAACAGCTGGAAAGGATCCCTCAGTTTCCAAATAGCAAAGGTGAGGCAGGTGCAAATCCCGCTTGGGAAGGAGCGGAGGAAAGTGAGGGCTGGATCCCATTGGAGCATGCCAGACCTAGAGGAAACTTCCACGCAGCAAATACAACTGCATGGCTCTGCCCACCAACTAGAGTTTGCCACTAGCAGAAAAAAAAAAAAAAAAAAAGGTTTTTAACAGCTTCAGGGAGATGGATATGGTGATGGCTCCTTAAATAGAAGGAGAAAAAGGAAGCAGGATGAAGCAACATATGATGAGGTCTGTGAGCAGCAGAGGAGCTGCTGAGGAGGAGGAGCTTGTCCTCCTCCATCAAGGCAGGGTGACATGTCAAAGATCAGCAAATAGGACAGGAGGGGTGCAGAAAAAACTCAATTTTTTCTTTTTTCGCCTGCAGAAAGACTCTTATAATGTGATTGGAGCCCTGGAGGAGAACATCCATGGCTACTTTGGGTTAAAGACCTGTTTTCCTGCCTTTCCTTGCGTTGGCAACAGTGATGGGACAAGGAGTGAAAAGCAACCAATGTGCAGAAACCATCCCTTTCTTTTTACGAGTGCAGGAGGAGCTTTACAGAGGTACAGAAGTCACATTGGGGCTAATTTATAAGAGAGAGTGATTGCCAGCTTTGGAAAATCTGCTCCTTGCATTTGACTTCCTTCTACCTTTTCCAGGTAATATTCCTGTTTTGGGGAGTCATGTGTGTTGGTGGTTTTGCCGGTTATTACAGGCCTGCAAAATATCAAGAGCCCTCAAGATAATAGTAATAGTGGTGGTGGTAGTAGTAGTAGTAGTAATAGTAATAATGGAAAACCACACAGCTGCACTGTGTTGAGTACATCTCCAAAAGGACAAGCAGTGGGACACCTTCCTCCTGGTTGCCCGTCAGCGCCCATGCAGCACAGTGTGGGGACAGTGGTGGCAGGAGGTGGAGGTGGCTCTGCCTCTCCAGCTGCACTCGGGAGGGAATTTCTCTGTGGTGAAATACCCGTGCCTGGGGCTCGCTAACGCYTTCCCCGACTTTGCTAGCGCTGTGCTCGTTGATCGACCTGTGCACATACAGACAGCTTTGTATTTTCTATTGAGGAGTAAATCAGCAGAGAAGATGCTGAGTGGCTTCTTAAATTGAGCAATACCTAGAGACAGGTACAGTAAACTTGATTTAAACTTGATGTCAGTGGATCCTTTCCATCCTGTACTTACCCAGTTCTCTACTGCTCTGCTTAATCAGTAACCCCCAATCTTTCACTCAGCATTCCTCAAGTTATCCTAGTTCYATGGATCTGAATAGCTGTGAGAGGCTTAAAATATGGCAAATAAAAAGCTGTCTTGCTCTATTTTTGAATATTTCAAATATTTATTATTATTTCCCTCCACGGGCTGCAGTTTCTTCTTTATCTGTCTAGAAAACACCAGAAAACCATTCTTGCATTTCAGGCACACTTTCACTCCCTTTCATCTGGTCTTAAAAGTGCCCCCAGTATCACCTTTTCTGATTGTGCTTAATGGCATGAGAGGGAGAAGAATAATAAAAATAAATGTTTAGGTACCTTTATCGTGAACTGCATGCATGTCTTCTCATCAGGTTGGTATGAAATGCAGAGCATAACAAATCCAACTAAGGACACCATGCAAACCTGCAAGGATGGAGATGCAAAACATATCAAAGTTGAAAAAAAAGTGCTTTTCAAACCAAAACTCCCTTCTATGTTAGCAGCATTGCAGCCCAAGAAATATTCAAGCCAAAGCATGACAGTGAGTTTCATCCTTTTGGATGCACTTGTGAGGAAGGATGAGCTCTCGCCAGGACACCAGGGCAGACCCAGAGGCCACAGATGCGTGCCCCGTCCCCATGCCCATGGTTTGGGGACCAAGAGGACAGATGGCTCCACATGAGGCTCTGCTGGTGGCCTCAACAGACAGTTTGAGAACCATCACACTGGGCAGTCCTCAGGAGACCTTAACACAACCCTTGCGTGAAGCCCTTGAAGGTCTTGCGAAAYTTAGTTCACTTTGGGCTGAGTTTTATTGGACGTGGATGGGAAACTGCATGTAGATAGTCACAGAGGAACCCATTCCTCTGACAATTTTACAAATTAAATACCAGACTTTATATCGATGTTTTGAGCTGCTAGACCGTAGCCTTGGGAAAGGCAGAGTGCTCTGCAAAGCACGGCCGGTCACGTCCCTCAAGATCCCGTGTGATTGATAATACTTTCCCTCATACAGCTTTATTTCATGTTGCTTTGGTAGGACACAGATAGGAAGTATTGCCTAAGAACTTTTCTAAAGAAAGCATATGTATTATTTACTCCTTTCCATGTCATGCGTTTTTATATTCTGGTCCTATGACTTGCACACGGCCTCCAATTTATTTGTTTTCTTCTTTTTATTGTTGGCAGCAGTAGTTGACAGGGCTGTCAGGGGGAAAAACAACCTTTCTTGCCAAAGGTCATTGAGGACTGTTTTTCCCCCTTCTCTGGTGCATGTGTGCCTCAGATACTTCACTTCGCAGGCATTAATTGCCTGCGTCCTTGGACCCTGGTACCACATATTAATCTTTTAACTCAATTAGCCTCCTCATAAAGTTTCAGTTTTAAGGATATTGTATCTTTGGCAATGCCCAAATGATAAAATCCCCCAACTATGACAGTCACAGCCGATGGCCATCGCAGACAACTGGGGCCAACACCACTGCTGGCCTTCCATGCGCTGGGATTAGGCTCCGTGTTCCCAAAACACTAGGAAAAGACTGTCATGGCCAAGGCTCTCCATCCCACCTGTGCTGTTCCTCCTGAGATTCAAAGAACATGCTCAGAGATATTTGGAGAGGCATTATATTATGTAGGTATTCATGAAAGATCACATGGGGTTGGGTTTCAAGCAAGGCTCGAGCAGGGTATTTCAGAGAGCTTAACCATTGCTTTTATAGGAATAGCCCAACGCTTTTTTCTTCTGAACCAGAGATGTGAAGGAGAAAGTGCCAAGTGTATTTCTGTGAGTGACAGTAAAAAGCAACACTGCTGAGGCCTCTGACCCATATATGTTTTACATTTCTATTCTGTGAAGGTAAATTCCCTCACTGGAGCAAACTAAAGTGGGGAACATTTATACAGAAAACAGCTTGTGTGTTTCTATTGTATACATTATTAATAGATCGCTTTTGATTTACGCCTGTGAAGTGTAATAGAATGACTGTAAAAATCCTTTGGTWAATACTCGTGCAGACTAGCGCGGCTGCCTTGTGGCAGAGGGCTACAGCAGGGACTTGCTCAGATGCATTTTACCCCGTTAGGGATGTGGTTGACGCTGCTGCTAAACAGTGCTCGATGCTCCAGTCACCTTTGTGACAGCGTGAAGCACAAGCATCCTCTGCCTTATTGACTAATCATGCAACATGAAATGCAGCTGAACCGCCTTAATACTCCCTTGCCATCCATCAATGCATGTTTGTTMCCCAAATAAAGTAGATTTGGTACGAGCTGCTGAAGAACGGTTAATTAGATCAGCTCCTGCAAGCCCTATCTGCAAATCTAGAAATGCACATTTTTGATGCTGGGGACATTGCGATTCAAGTTCACTTCGAAATTGTCCAGGCAGACTAACACCCTTTGCTGAGGAGGTGGTGACATGAAAGGTTATCCAGGGAAAGAATTTAAATTTAGAAAACTCCCGTCTAGAAAAAGATCTGAACGTGATACAGATGCATTTAGGAAGGGTACAGATTTCATTTTGCTTACTGCTTGCCCTCTGAAATCCACCCAGTTTGCAAGCTGGTGAAACCAGTCGCTTACAAGCGCTAGATGAAGATTTCCAAGTTTATCTTCTTGAAAAGTCTCCGCATGATTTCTTTTTGGCAGGGAGCAGCACACCACCTTCCATTATGGTGGAACACCCAAAACCTATAGAGTGACCCCAGAAWTAACTTCGTGTTAAAACACAGCAAAAATAGCCAAAACAGGAGTTCAACACCAGTTCTAGAAATAACTGCAGGTGAGAAAAATAGCTCGCCGGCTCCAGGGGGAGAAAAGCAGCTGTGACAAAGTGTTGACTCCAGGAGCTGGGGTTGGTTTGTAGGGGAGCTCGTTGCACCCATGGCTGCATCAGGGCTGGGCACAAGGTGTGTGGGAGATACACGGAACCCGCATGGACACGGTGGGTATGGTTATGCAACATCCAGAACTGGGGGAAACATGACCATGTAGGACACATGCTTCCTCTGCGGTTTGTGTTCATTAGCTTTGCACACTGACATGCCAATGTGGTTTGCTCTGTTTCGACAGCTTCCAAAACCACAGATTTCTCTAATCTGTCTCTATCTCTCCCTTGTACATTTGTCAGGCTATTTTGTTCTTGTAGCTAATATTTCAGACCAAGGTGACTTTCTCCAGCAAAATGGTGCTTCCTCCCAGGATGTCCTGGACATCTTGGAATTCTTAGTCGGAGGCTGGTAAAGCAGGGGAGCTACAAACCTCCACTAAGCGGTTAAGGAAGGAGAGTAAATCTTGTTCGAGGGAGCACCTTGAGCCTACACCATGCTGCAAGGCAGCCATTGCAGTGCTCACGGGTGTAATGTGACTCACACACTTTTTACCTCGGGGTTGGTTAGCAAGAACCCCCGGCAAGAACCTTTGCAGGTCAAAAAGTGAACTCAAAGGAGGAAGGTACCTCTGAAATGCATTCAGCGTAATGCCACACAGGCACCAAGGCACACAGGCTGTTACTGCTTACACAGGAAGGCAAACTCAAAGTCCAAATCTAACCCAGTACTGGGAAGAAATTTCCTTGATGGGCAAGTTATTTTATAGTTTCTCACTTCAGATCTCTATGGACCTCTCTGAGGGATAAGGATAAAGAAATCATCTCTGCTAGGTGTCTCTAAAGTCTCTGGCTTATCATCAGAGGAGATGTGTGGCTTGATGGATCACTGGCCTTATCAGATATGGCAATGACTTAGTTCCCATCCTTAAGACCAAGRAAACCAAAGAGCTTAACAGCCCCTGGGAACATAGATGTGGATACAAGAAGGAAAACGTTCMTGTTGGCTTTGTCCTTATGAAAGACGATCGCCTCTGATGGCAGACAGCAGTATGCAGTACTACAGTCAGCAATACTGATGCTCATTCACTTTACAAGCTCTGAGGAGACTATGACCAAAGCAGGTTGCAGGTTTTGCTACAGGCTGCATTGACCTCAGGCTTTCATCAGCCTCAGGCCTCGCTCACARAGGCAAAAGAAACTAAACTGCCACAAAGAGATACTACTCTTTAATGGGACATTCCCTCTTACAGATTTCTCATTAGTTTTAAAAGACACCCCGGTTGTATATAAATTACTCTCAGAAATAATATCTGTAATAACAATATTGTTCCTAGAAAACATGTAACATGGAAAGCATAGCTTGGCTAAACCCGAGGCCTGCAGAACCAATGTGCCATGAAGCTATGGAAAGCCATCATCCCTATGGAATCAAAAGGTGACCTGGACCGAGGAAACTTGTCCAGACAACATCCCCTTCCAAGCTTCAGCCAGACTTTTTGCATGGGCATAACCTTGTCAAGGTGAGTAGTTACCACATGGTCTTTTGGAGCAGTGCTACCTGCTCAGATTGTTGTAAAAGGTAAAATTCTAATGTTTTTTTTTTTTCCAATCAAATTTTTTTTTCTATTTACACTCGATCAAAAAGAAGTAAACAATTGAAATCAACCAAGCAAATAGTCTGAATTTCAGTAAATCGGACATCGATGTTGAGTTACTCTTAGAAAAGGTTGAGATTTAATGGCAGCAAGCCCTGGTGTTGGCTCCAGACCCAGCTGTAATGAAGTCCTGGCAGCCCCACCAGCACCTATTGCACCTCAGCGTGCACCGCCCAGGTTTCACATAGCTTGGAGACAGTCCAATTAAATACCTCAGCTTGGAGGCTCTTCTTGAGAGTAGTCGTCCCCCAAAGCTTTTGAAATTTGCCCATGGCTAATTGAAGCTGACCTGTATAAAAAAATGCATGCCCACACAACCACAATTTCCATTAGCTTCTTTGATGGTGCCAGTTCTTAACTGTCACCTTTTATTAWAAATTGAAATTGGCCTCCCTCATAACAGGCACAAGTTAGAGACCCAGCGAGCCCAGGAGGTGAAGCCTGCCTGAAAGCCACCTCCACAATTGCGGYGGGAAGAGGAGTCAGAAGCAACAGTGAAAAAAAGCAGCAAGAAGCCAGGATGAACAAGAAAGTGTCTCTTTGCTTTCAGGCTTTGAAAGAGAACACATTCCAGGGGCTTTACATAGACAGTCGGCCCCCATTTATGTATCAATACGGAAAGGGCTCCGTTGGCTCCTGCTGGAACCGGGAATCCAGGGCAGCACGTGCTTCCTGCATGCAACATGTTGACATTATTTACCTTGACCGGCTTGGTTACAGGTACAGCAAAGCCCTGTGAGGCCAGAGGAGCACCGGCCTCACCAGCACCAGCTCATCACTGGGATGCATTTAATGCATCTGCAACCAGCCAGCGGTGACAAGAGCCTCGTGCATCCCAACAACAGGCTTCCAGGAGGCTCAAACAAAACCCCAAAGGGGTTTGGGAGGCTAAAAGCTCATGATTGTGTGTCTGATCTTTCAGGGCAACTTTTCCTTCCTTCCTTCCTTCCTTCCTTCCTTCCTTCCTTCCTTCCTTCCTGGTAGTTTTCAAGACAGAGTCACAACAGAATCTATGAGAGCAGGAGAGGTGGATCCTCATTTGTTGCCCTGGCCCACCTGGGTGACGGATTAAAGGGAATAGCTTATTCACACTGAAGCAGAAGTGGTAAATCACTTGGTCTCCTTGGTTTCTGTCCAGAGAAACTTTTCCTTTGGTTTCTGACTAATGTCCCCACGGATTTCGGGCGAAATTCGCCTGAAACGAGGAGGTTTCAGCCTCGGGGTTTCACAGTGACACAGCCGGCGCCGGGCAGCCCCCACTGTGGCCTTCGCCAGCCCCAGCTCGGCAGCTGAATCACTGTGACACGGAGCAGCTTGGGGTCCTTTCTGGGGACGCTTTGCTCTGGGTGCTGCTCTAGTAGGAAAAGAGCTTTTTTGTTCGTGCCAGAGGCTGCACACATAGCTCACCCCATGCCCCTGTAGGATAGCCCATATAACAATATACATATGTTTATATGTACATATACATACATACATATATATATATATATTTGCAGTGTTACCCGACGCTGCAAAGCAAAAGCCAGCACCACATGAGAGCGTTTCATCACAGGCCTACGGGGACGGGCACAGGGGCCCAGAGTTAGAGCCTGGCGCGGCGCATGCAGGCGAGTTAGTCCGGAGCAGCATCATGCAGCGGGGCCAAGGCCTTTTATTTCTTTTTTTTTTTTTTCTTTTTTTTTTTTTGCAATTTTTTTTCCCGATGCTTACACAGATCCCAGCCCAGTGCGGCGTGTCCCTGAGCAGCACGGAGGAGCTGATGGCGGCGGCCAGGAAGCCGAGCACGGCCACGGCGCTGCCCAGCGCCAGCTGCAGCAGCGCCGGCAGCAACGGGAAGCGGCAGCCGCAACAAGTGGGGGGCGCCTCCTCGGCGCCCGCCTTGGGGTCCCYGCCGCCTTCCTCCTCCTCCTTCGGCATCGCCGCGGAGCCACTGCCCTTCTGGCCCCCTGCACGCGGGGGCTTCTTCTCCTTCTTGCCCATGCCTGGGGRGTTTCACGGGCGCAAGGTGGGGTTCCGTTCGGGGTGGGTTTTTTGCCCCCCGGAGCGCCGTGCTGGTGCTGGCTGGGTTGTTCCTGGTGTGTGAGTCCAGGAGGCTGAACAAATATGGAAAACATTTGGAGCAGATTGTTGGAGGGAGCGTCTAAATGCCACATATAGCCCAGGGAAGAGGGGGGCGCCAGGGGGGTAGCGCACTGACAACCAGCAGCGTCCTGGGCGCGCGGTGCGTGTGAGCGGGCACGGGCACATGTGCGGGAGGCGCACGGGTGTGCACGTGTGTGTGCAGACACGTGTGTGTATATGTGCTCACCTCCGTGTGCGCGAGAGCACGTGTGTGCACGTGTGTGTGCAGACATGCGTGTGTGTATGTGCTCACCTCGGTGTGCAGACACGCGTGTGTGTGCACGTGTGTGTGCAGACACACGTGTGTGTGTATGTGCTCACCTCGGTGTGCGCGAGAGCACGTGTGTGCATGTGTGTGTGCAGACACACGTGTGTATGTGCTCACCTCGGTGTGCGTGAGAGCACGTGTGTGCATGTGTGTGTGCAGACACGCGTGTGTGTGTATGTGCTCACCTCGGTGTGCGGGAGAGCACGTGTGTGCGCCTGCACTCCCCGCTCCAACACCTGCTGCTCTACCTTCATTTAGGTGCATTTTAGAGTGTGTGGGGGCGGAACTCAGGATGCGTGTGAAAAAAATGTACAATTAACACACAGGGAAGAATTGGAATTAGTGCTGGGGATGCCTTGCTCGCTGCATTGGAAATCTTCCGGTGTGGGGCAGCGAGGGAAGCAYATCTGAAGTTGTGGAAATCACCAGCAAAACAGCACCTGAGATCCACCATGTGCTTTTGTGAGGGAATAACCCAGATGTTGAACAMACACAGAGATGGCATCGGTTGGCAATGCCCTCTGAGGAAGCGCTCTATTTCCAGATGCTTATGGCATTCGACAGCAACTAAGTGTGTCTTCTTTATTAAYAAATTATGGTGTCACTTTGCTTTATGGGTTAAGCAATATCCTCTTTGGATATTTATATCAGCAAACATACAGAACAAAGTGAGAAACAAAGTGATTCCAGGTTCTTTCTGTGCACATAACTCTCATGCTGCACCCAGGGAGGGCTGCTCTCTGACCTGAGCCTTCTTAGCCTCTCGCCAAGGCTGTTTTGTCACCATGACGCTCTTCTCTCTGCATCCCTGTGACAGTTTCCTGGTGCTCCTGGCTCCGGCTCTGCCAGCAGCAGACCAGTGCTATGGCGTGTGAGGTTCTCAGCATTTAGACTGGCAACTGGATTTTGGCCATAATATCTGGGCAGAGAATTGAATATTAGCCAGGGAAATCCACCTTGGCCACAACCTCCAGCCCTTGGAAAATTCCAGCTATGCATCCTGAATCCAGAGCTTTTAAGGAAGGGGGGCTCGGGGCCGCTGCAGGGGACATTGCCTGGAAGGTTTGGGTGCACAGCCCTGGTTTGGCTTTCTTTTTGCAGTCGAGTGGGACACGGCCTCCCCAAGGGGCTGCGGCTGGGGTTACTTGGCTAATGCAACCGCATGAGGCCGGCCAGCCCTGGGCGGCTTTGGGGAGCTCTGCGGATGCCGATGGGCTGCTGCTTCAGAAAGGGAGAGATGAAACGAGGACAGCGACTGGAGTTTCTGGAGTCATCCATCTTCCGGATGCCGCTCGGATTTCCTCGGCAACGCGAGGCTGATCATTACTGTTTCATGCCCAAAGGCCTGATTAAGCGCRCTCTTAAGCGAGGCGCGTGCCTGGATACCCTTCCTGGAGGAGAGTGTTTGCTGCGGGAGCCCAGCTCCCATGCGGCGCGCAGTTGCAACGATGGTGCCCTTTGCACCAAGTGAGTCACATTCCCTAGCTTTCCCTGAGCCAGTCAGGGCCTGGAGTGGGAACCTCARGGGCTACGGCAGCTGGTCCCACGAAACCAGGCTGGAGCGAGAAGCTGTAGGATAAGGAGACATCAGGTAAACTCACCCTCACTGGTTTATGTATGGGTTTCTATCCTCCAGCAAATGCTCTGTACCAACCCAGCATCCCTGGGATACCGCTAYGTGGAAAAAAGGGGGTTCGAAAATGTGGGAAGAGTTGTTTCCAAACACTCTCTTCTTCTTCGAAGCGTATCTGTAGAGGATATTTTCTGTCAAAACACGTTAATGAGATGCTCTGCCCATTAGACCTCACCGGGTGTTAATTATTACCTGGTTAAACACAGGCAAATCCTCTTATTCRTGGTCTTGCCCAGGCGAAGGGCTTGGGCCGATCCCTAGGCGCACTYGCGGGACCGCACACACACGCACACGCACGCAGGCAGGCCCGCGCCCGCGCTCAAGCGCCCGCATTAGGCCTGGGCAGCAGGGCTGCTACCCCCACGTGCAGCAGCTTTGCGCTCACACCCGGGGCGACCGGTACCAAGCGGGAGGACGACAGCTCCCRCTCTCCGTTACTGACAGGGAAGAAATGAAGGAGAGTGCTCCTGCGAGGGGAAGCAAGAAGCAGCTCTGCAGCCACGTCTGTCACGGCAGCCTCGTGTGGATCTCTCTCATTAATGCGCGTTTTCCACGTCCTGCTGTACAAACCCATTAAAAGGCAYGAAGAAAGTGCTTCCAGGAGGCAGCAGCGCTGCAGGCAGCTCTCACAGGGTGCTCGCTCTGAAGGCCCAGACAAGCCCGATGCTGCACATGCACACAGGTCTCATTTCGCAGGGCTTGCTGGCGTCTCCAGACACTCGGGGCTTTGTCTCTGCGGCTGGCGCGAGCTCTCACGTTGGCATCTGGGCAGTCTCACCGGGCTGTTCACAGCCGCAGCTGCACTTCAAGGTCTGATGTGCTCAGAGGCACCGCAGTTGCCTGAAATACGTGCCAGGCTGTTTTGAGAAGGCACCGTCTGCCCCAGAGGTCCCAGCTATGAGGATTTCAGTCTCCCAGCTTTCAATTTACCGAAGAGCTCTTGGTCTTTCCATGGAAAATAGGCCTTACTTTCCTCGGATCAAGCACCCCATGAAGTGCTGGCTTCTCTCAGAGACTTGCACTGGGAGCAGCGAAMATCCAGGACCCCAAGTTGACACCTTGGACCTCATGGACATTTGCTGCTGACTTCAGCATGGCCAAGGTTTCTCCTCGGCTCTTGGCTGGTTTTCAAATTGAGCCCAGGATGTTCCCTGGAGCCRGGAGACCCGAGTACATCAGGGTTAATTTCTTTTCATCTTCTCCTGCACTCGTCCTAGCAACGACAGAGTTGCCTACATGCTGTGCTGTAATCTGCTGTCTCACGAGGACACGGTTACTCCCAGGAATCAGCACACTCTCCCTTCTTGCACAGTTGTAAATCATCCATAAATCACCTTCTTAAGGACCCAAGCTGTGTGTTCTTTACCATGGGCAAAACAGAGGGTAGCATCTCTACCTGCCGCGTCTCCTGGGGCTGTGCTTCCCTCGCTGCCCGTGCACATCAGCAGTAAGAGCATCGCCATTCCTTGCTCTGCACTGCTGTCCTTCAGCTTTCTCAGACCCCTGACCTTTCATTTGAGAGGCTTCTTAAGGACACGAGGTGTTCTGCGTGGCCAAAATTACTACGTGTGCTCCACCAGATGCTGAGCAGCACTGCCTCCCACCCAGCGTTACTCTGAGCATTATATTTTCTTGGCTTAGCACTGTTATGAAATGTCAGTGCTTCACAACCTCTGACTCTCTTTTGCAACATCCCCAGGGGAATGCARCCTCTTTTAAAGCACGGCTCCAAGCTGGCAAACCCTACAAACTCGCAGCATCTTTCATTTTGGGAGGCTCTCAGTCATTCCCACAAGGTAGGTGAGATACAGCAGCGCGGGAGATGAAAGCAAGTTGTGCTCAAAGCCGGTCTGGAAGACAGGAGTTACTCAAGGACTGATTTTAGTTAATATTTGCCCGTCACACACAAAAGAGGGAGGAGCGCCGCGAAATTTCCTGATGACACAAAAATGGGAGTGCTTGTCAATACACGAGAGGCTCCGGGCTATCGGACAGGAAGAGCTGCGTGACCTTGAGGACGGGAACAATAGGGATGGGATGAAGCACGGTGGTGCCAAATGCAAGGCTTGGCAAGGAAGGCGTAAGTGTAAGGATTTCTCGGGGACACAAAATCAGTGAAAGCCCCGAAGGTATTAGCTGATCACAGGATTACTGGGAAATGGCAGTGTGTGACTTGGCCATGAAAAAAATGGTGAATGTGAGCAAGGCTGTGCAGTCTAACAAGAATTAAAGGTTGGGGTGTACATGACGGGTTCTATAAATATCTCACGTTAAACTGAAAACAATGTTGGCACCGGGACAAATGGATATAAAGTGGCCATTAGCAAATTGAGCCTGGGAGTCAGAAGGTGGTTTCTAACCCTCGGAGCAGGGAGGCTCCAGGCTAGCAGAGAGCACAACCTGCTTCAAGATGGAACATGATCAATTTTCRACCTCACGTCCATTTGACGTGGCTGCTTGGAGGGACCTGGTGAGTCAGGAAGTCCCTTCTCCTCCCAGCTCCCATGGTGGAGACAGTTCCCACTTCCCTGCTCAGGCAGTGAAGTCCTAGGAGGGTTGGAAGCCCTAACTCAGCGGCAAAAGAAGGCAAGAATCCCTGCTACCCTGCACAGCTGCTTCAAGGCATAATCTAACTCTTAATTTGTTAGTGGCAATTATTTAGATTTCATGTATTTCTTACAGAATAAACTGGAGAGTTACATCAATAACCATTTCTTTTTTTTTTTTTTTTTTTGTAGTTAATACTTTGTACTTATATAGCATCTTTCATCTTTCAAAGTGCTTTACATACATTAATTATTTAACTCTCTCCATACCCCCTTTGATCTAGGCAAGTATTACGGTGCTCAGTTTACAAATGGGGAAAACAAATACAGAAGAACAAATTCTTGCTGCTAGGCTCATGCCACCAGGATCAAGGCAATTTTGTGGCTCTATGGAACAGCTGGCTTCGGAAAGGAAAGGTTTCCTCATGTGCCTGGATGTGGCAGCAGGTCCTGGGCTGTAAGTACTTTGGATACTCCCCCAGTGCAGAGAGCGGCTTCAGGGGAGGCTTTGTGCAGGACCCGGTGTGGGATGCTGTGTGTAGGATAGATGGCCAGAAAAGGCTGCCTGGGAAAGACCCAGGATTCAGTTTAATTACCATAGATAGAGCACAGCTATGGAAGTGGCTAAATGGCCAAGACCCAAGCAACGGGAATGAACTCAAATAGCTGCAGCAGCTATTGAGTAAGAGGTAACATTGATCAGGGTAGACGTGCGCTTACTGAAAGGATGTGAAACTCCCTTTCCAGTTAAGAGGAAAATAACAGCTGATGCATTTTTGATTGCTGTTACATTGAATGTTTATGTAGTTTGTCTGAGTGACTGTCGGAGGCTGATTTAGAGATTTTATTGCTGAATAACTGAGTTATTTTTCCTGCAAATTTTCATACCGGTGTGATGTGTGTGTTTGGATGGCTGTGACTATGGTTGTGACTATGCAGCGGTGCTGCAAATGCTCTCTGCCTGAGCAGAGGTCTCTTCAGGTTGCCCCTCTCATTTCTGTTCCCTGTAAAGGACATTTCTGCCTTACAGGAGTGAGGAGCCTGGTCTATTAAGCAGAGCAGGAAGCTGGGAATCAACACACACGGGTGCGAGCGCTAAGTCTGCCAGCGGTTATGGTGTGTGACACTGCATAAGAGTAACTGCATTTCACTGACCGGTGCCAAGAACAGGAGTTAAAAGATCAGGCTACTGATTTTCAGAGATACTGACTCATTTGGTGACCAAGCAGATGCTATTTAGTGCCAGCTCGGGGCCCATGTCGTGTGGTTTGCACGGGAAAGGTGGCTCAGGCGCCCTGCTCCGAGGGCGGTGAACAGGGCTTGCTCCCAGCTTGCTCCCGTGCTCCTCCTCCGGATCGGCTGGGATTGCTCCATGGCCTTCTGGAGAGGAAAGGGGAAAGGGCCTGAATCTGCACACATTTTCCCTGTGCTGAATATTTTCCCTGTTACTGCCAGAATGCATTCCTGAAGAAGCAAAATGACTAGAGATTTTCAATTTCATGGTCATTTTGATATGCTAAATGGTGCCAAGAAAGTTAGTGGGAAATTAGCAGGGCACAAATCCCCATGGGATGTGGAAGTTGCAGTCAAAATGGGGCTGCTAAATATTAGTAATTAGCAAAACTGAGTTTAAAGTGTGGTGTTTTAATTAGCCACAAACTCTGCTCCCTTCATGTCAGTGTTACCCACCAA